AACTCTCTACAGATCATGCTGCTGCTGTCCCATGTCACGTAGGCACTTTGAGTGATAACTCTCTACAGATGCTGCTACTGCTACCCCATGTCACGTAGGCACTTTGAGTGATAACTCTCTACAGATCATGCTGCTGCTGCTACTGCTGTCCCATGTCACGTAGGCACTTTGAGTGATAACTCTCTACAGATCATGCTGCTGCTGCCCCATGTCACGACCACCGCTGTCACTCCACTCGCTTCACGCGTCGCTACTTCGCCCAGCCGCTGGACAGATGTCGTTACTGATGGCAGGTTCACGATTTAGTCTGTGCCCTCATTCGATGGGAGGGTGTGCGGAAGTGTGCCGCAGATAAACGGATTTCATTTTAAATTATTGAAACAATTCAAACAAGGTATTCCTAAAAATATTATAAGCAAACGTGTTTTATAAAATTTTTTACTGCGATTACATCGGATGACGCAGATTCAAAAGTATGCCGTTCATTTTAAACGATAACAAAAAACAACACGGATCCATTTTATTTTGTAGAACCTCGGCACAGTGCCTACTATGGCCTATGGGATAGCACGGCCCTGGTGGGTGAGTGAGTGGCTGGGTGGGTGAGTGGCTGGGTGGGTGAGTGGCTGGGTGGGTGGGTGAGTGAGTGGCTGGGTGGGTGAGTGAGTGGCTGGGTGGGTGAGTGGCTGGGTGGGTGAGTGAGTGGCTGGGTGGGTGAGTGGTTGGGTGGGTGAGTGAGTGGCTGGGTGGGTGAGTGAGTGGCTGGGTGGGTGAGTGAGTGGTTGGGTGGGTGAGTGAGTGGCTGAGTGGGTGGGTGGCTGGGTGGGTGAGTGAGTGTCTGGGTGGGTGAGTGGTTGGATGGGTGGACCCTATGCAAAGTGCCTACTGTGACCTATGGGATAGCACGGCCCTGGTGGGTGGGTGAGTGGCTGGGTGGGTGAGTGAGTGGGTGGGTGAGTGAGTGGGTGGGTGGGTGGGTGAGTGGCTGGGTGGGTGAGTGGCTGGGTGGGTGGGTGAGTGGCTGGGTGGGTGGGTGAGTGGCTGGGTGGGTGGGTGAGTGGCTGGGTGGGTGGACCCTATGCAAAGTGCCTACTGTGACCTATGGGATATCACGGCCCTGCTCGAGAGGGCCGGTGAGTGGTGCGGTGCTGGTGCAGCGTGAGTGAGCGTTGTGGGGGTCTGCGTGTGACTCACTAAGGGGGGAGGGGGGGGGCCATGCCTGGCTCCCCCACGCGCAGTGCCGGGTGGACCTCTCAGCTGCGGCCTCTCTCGCGCCTTCAGGGGGACCTCGCAGACGTCCCGGAACGTCTGACATGAAGTACTTCGCTCGGTGATATGAAATATTGTTGAATATTTATACACTGTTCTTATACAACTCGGGGCCATGTTTTAAACATCGAATGTCGCGTCTTTGTGTATCGATTCTGCGCCCCTTGTGTTCGTGTTGTTCGTTGTGAGTTGATGTCGCGCCCCCGACTGGCCGTGCTGATCGTAGCTCGTCGGGTTCCTCCGGTCTCAAGTCTTCTGGTTGTGACATTCACTGTGGTCAAGACGTGGTTAGAGTCGTGCTTTGTGATGCAAGACTCGCATTGTACCTGAGACTTATTACGTAAATAAAGACACAAACTTGTTGCGTTCTCTGTCCAAGGGCTCAAGCTCCCCTCATCCCACCTCGTCACTCACCACTCGCCCTCCTCACCTCGTCACCCACCACTTCCAGTCGTCACCTCCTCCTGCTCCTCCTCCCTTTTCTGTCTCTGTCTCTCTCTGTCTGTCTCTCTCTGTCTGTCTTTCTCTCAGACTTGTGCATTTCCTGCGGTGCCAGGGAGGATCTGCCCCACCGGTACTTACACTGCCAGCGGCTCAAACCAAAGTCCCGCATTTTGGGGGACATCTTCAGGAAACTGGGGGTGCCCTTCTACAACAGCGGCTTCGTATATGGGGTGGTGCCTTACCTGGATAACAAGCGCCATGACAACTTCGCCTGTGCTCAGGCGAAGTTGGCGGTGTACAGAACGAGCTGCAAGGTGACACTGACGGCTGCTCTGTGGCGCTTCCGGTGTTCAGGGGCCTGCTCAAGGTGCAGCTCTGGCTGGAGCACGCCACGTGACACACGCACGTGTCGGTGATGTGCAGCGCGTCTTGTTCCAACGTTGAGGAGCCGGACAAGCCCCTCTCTGTAGCAGCGTGGACGGCACCCCCCACGTGTTCACCTTCTGTAGCGCTCGCTCGTCACGTGACGTGCGCAATGACCACCACCACCACCACGTGACTTTTATTTCGTGTTGTGCGGGGTGCATTTAGCGTTACAGCGCGTGGATTTATAGCGTTTATTATTTGTGTTGCTGGTGAATGTGTGTTTGTGTTGCTGGTGACTTTGTGTTGCTGGTGACTGTGTATTTCATATCGGAATCACCTCCAGTGCTGTTGCTGTTGGCAGCAATAATTGTTTAAAAGTCAAAGTCTCTCTGTCCGTCTCTCGCTGTCTGTCTCTCTCTGTCTCTCACTGTCTCGCTGTCTCTCTCTCGACCTCTGGGCAGAACTCGTCCCTCAGAGCTGCCCTCAGCTAGAGGTGGAAATTCCACATTCCATGTCCCTTTAAAGGACAGACAACTCCCGACTGCACACACCGTTGAAAGCTATATATTTATATGTGCTTGTAGGTATTGCTGTACGCGTGTAATCCGGTGAACCTGACCCCTCGGTCGCCACTGGGGAGACAAAGGCGGCCGGGCGTGCTGCTGGCTACGGGACTGCGAGGCTCTGGATCTCGATGCAAGTTCACGGTGCTCGGTGAGAGTCCTCGAGGTCGCCGCTTTGTCGCCGGCAAGACGACAGCGCCCCCCGGTGGGAGACGGCGTGGCCACAGCCCCGCAGAGCCACGCCGAGAGACGCGCACAGCGCGACTTTGTGCGAGTCTCTGGGTCTATGGGCGAGTCTCTGGGTCTCTGTGCGAGTCTCTGGGTCTATGTGCGACTCTCTGGGTCTATGTGCGAGTCTCTGGGTCTATGCGCGAGTCGCTGGGTGTATGTGCGAGTCTCTGTGTCTTTGTGCGAGTCTCTGTGCGAGTCTCTGGGTCTATGTGCGAGTCTCTGGGTCTATGCGCGAGTCTCTGGGTCTATGCGAGTCTCTGGGTCTATGCATGAGTCTCTGGGTCTATGTGCGAGTCTCTGGGTCTCTGTGCGAGTCTCTAGGTCTATGTGCGAGTATCTGGGTCTATGTGCGAGTCTCTGGGTCTCTGTGCGAGCCTCTGGGTCTATGCGTGAGTCTCTGGGTCTATGTGCGAGTCTCTGGGTCTATGCGCGGGTCTCTGGGTCTCTGTGCGAGCCTCTGGGTCTATGCGTGAGTCTCTGGGTCTATGTGCGAGTATCTGGGTCTCTGTGCGAGTCTCTGGGTCTATGCGCGAGTCTCTGGGTCTCTGTGCGAGTCTCTGGGTCTCTGTGCGAGCCTCTGGGTCTATGTGCGAGTCTCTGGGTCTATGCGCGAGTCTCTGGGTCTCTGTGCGAGTCTCTGCGTCTATGTGCGAGTCTCTGGGTCTCTGTGCGAGTCTCTGGGTCTATGTGCGAGTCTCTGGGTCTCTGTGCGAGTCTCTGGGTCTATGTGCGAGTCTCTGGGTCTCTGTGCGAGTCTCTGCGTCTATGTGCGAGTCTTTGGGTCTCTGTGCGAGTCTCTGGGTCTATGTGCGAGTTCATGGGTCTATGCACGAGTCTCTGGGTGTATGTGCGAGTCTCTGGGTCTCTGTGCGAGTCTCTGGGTCTCTGTGCGAGTCTCTGGGTCTATGTGCAAGTCTCTGGGTCTATGTGCGAGTCTCTGGGTCTATGTGCGAGTCTCTGGGTCTATGTGGGAGTCTCTGGGTCTATGTGCGAGTCTCTGGGTCTATGTGCGAGTCTCTGGGTCTATGTGCGAGTCTCTGGGTCTCTGTGCGAGCCTCTGGGTCTCTGTGCGAGTCTCTGGGTCTATGCGCGAGTCTATGCGCGAGTCTCTGGGTCTATGTGCGAGTCTCTGGGTCTCTGTGTGAGTCTCTGGGTCTATGCGCGAGTCTCTGGGTCTATGCGCGAGTCTCTGGGTCTATGCGCGAGTCTCCGGGTCTATGTGCGAGTCTCTGGGTCTCTGTGCGAGTCTCTGGGTCTCTGTGCGAGTCTCTGGGTCTCTGTGCGAGTCTCTGGGTCTATGTTCGAGTCTCTGGGTCTATGTGCGAGTCTCTGGGTCTATGTGCGAGTCTCTGGGTCTATGTGCGAGTCTCTGGGTCTATGCGCGAGTCTATGTGCGAGTCTCTGGGTCTATGTGCAAGTCTTTAGTGCGAGTCTGGCTCTCAATGTGAATCTGTGGCTCCACCCAAGTCCGTGGCTCTCCGAGGGTCTATGGGTCTCTGTGCGAGTCCACGGAAGTCTATGGATCTCCCAGTTCATGGCTCTATGATGGTCTACGTGGGAGTCTAAGGATGCACGCGAATCTATGGATCCCCCACGTGACTCTATGGGTCTCTGCACGAGTCGATGGTTTCTAGAGATCTCCGTGTGACTCTATGGGTCTCTGCGCGAGTCGATGGTTTCTAGAGATCTCCGTGTGACTCTATGGGTCTCTGCGCGAGTCGATGGTTTCTAGAGATCTCCGTGTGACTCTATGGGTCTCTGTGCGAGTCCCATGCCTCTCCACGTGCGAGTCCACGCGTGGTGAGGTGGAGACCCCACGCAGAGCGCGCAGCAGAGAGCCGCACCTCGACTCCCAAGACAGTCCCAACACCGCCACTCCACACAGACCCCCACCACCACCACTCCACACGGACCCCCACCCCCACCACCACTCCACACAGACCCCCACCACCACCACCACTCCACACAGACCCCCACCACCACCACCACTCCACACAAACCCCCACTCTCTGGGGAGGATTCTTTTCTCACATTTTACTTCATCCAAGTCGCTACACAATTGGGATATAGCCCCTAAAAACCATGTGGTTTCTGCGTGCTGTATAATTATTGCAGAGATGCCACTCGCAGCGAATACAAAACTTTTAATGTTTGATTATGTCACATGCATCGTCATGTACGAATATAATCTATGGATGTGAATGGGAATCTGTGGGGTCGTCACTTCTCGCCAAGACCGTGAGGCTGCCTTTGGTGGGAGGGGAGGGGGAGGAATTGATACAGCAGTGGACCGATCATGGCCCACTATTAATAACGGCGAGGATGACGTCAAGGCTGCGATTATGACGATGACGTCACGGCAGCGATTATGACGTCACGGCAGCGATTATGACGATGACGTCACTGCTGCGATTAAGACGATGACGTCACGGCTGCGATTATGACGCTCCCACTGCCACGTTCGCCTTGCAGCAGCAGCACAGGGACAGCTGCCACCAGGGGGGAGGGGGGGCCACAGCTGGGGGCCAATGAGATGAGAGGCGACGATGACGTAGCACAGCGAGGGAGCCCCGCAGTCAAGTCCCCGTCTCCTGACGTTTGTTGAACGTTGACCGGCGTCGTGCCCCCCCTCCCCACGCTGCATCTACCACGTGGTGAGATTGGCGATGAGGTGTTGTCCATCAGACACAATGTAGTCCCTCAGCCCTGCGCACAGCACCGCCACACACGGACCGGGGAGGGAATGGGTTAGTTGCGTGATCCGGGTCGAGCCAAGAGAAATATTTGGGGGGGCCGCGGTGGCCAGGAGATGTTAACTACCTCGCCTGGTAGGCAGGAGGTCGTGAGTTCGATCCCGACCCTGGACTTGCAGGATGGGAGGGGTCTCATTTCACGCGAGCGAGCGAGCTGGGTTGTGTGTGGGTGAGCGAGATGGCGAGCAACTGGTTGAATGAGTGAATGAGTGGGTGTGGGTTGAGCGGGCGAGTGCAGGCGAATGATTAGGTGGGTAGGAGAATGAGGGCACGAGTGAGATTGGTGCTCAGTGAGAACTCGAGAGCGAGAGAGACACCAGGACAGGAGACGGAGGAAGAATCTCATTCTCCGATTGACTCTGGGTTGGTTCTCACCAAAAACACGAACAAAAGCAGCAACAAACCCCCCACAGTAAACAAAGTTCAGCAATCAGCACAACAGCGAAATACTTGAGGGTGGTGGCTTGGGATGGGAGAGCCTCCCCGTTCACACAGTTGGTAGTGCAGGCAGTCCTGGCGTCTTAGTTTAAACAATTTAACGATTTTACTTTACCAGGTAGAGAGCCCCCCACGGAGACATTTCCTGTTTTTCAGAAGCGACCTGCCTATCAAAATTATAGCTCAACCACGTGGCTGATCCTTGTGGAAATGTGTAGCAACAGACAAATCATCTAAACAACGCACGTCGATTCGAAATTATGGAGGAAAAAAAGTCCAGTCTGAGCCACGGGGAGGGAGACGCAGAATCTCAAAATCCAGGAGATCGAACCCACGACCTCCTGCGCACCAGGCGAGGGAGATGACATCTCACGGCATCACGGCTCAAACCGCTCGGCTGGAATCGGCTGCCACTGGGGGGTGCCCTCTGGGCTAGAGGCCACGCGGCAGCAATGGCGGTGCCACCCCGAACCGGTCACCGCTCCCCTCCCCTCCCCATGCCCCGAGGCGGCCAACGGCTCCTCACCTTTGTCCAGCGGGGTGCTGGGAGCATCCAGCAGCTGCCAGTACTGGTGCAGGGCCGAGTCCGCCACGAGTCCGTTCACCTGCACCAGGTAGGGCCCGAAGCTCGACGGCTTGGTCTTGAAGCTGCGTGTGAGACACCACACACAGACACCATAGAGACACCACACACAGACACCATAGAGACACCATAGAGACACCACACAGACACCATAGAGACACCACACACAGACACCATAGAGACACCACACACAGACACCACAGAGACACCACACACAGACACCATAGAGACACCATAGAGACACCACACACAGACACCATAGAGACACCACACACAGACACCATAGAGACACCATAGAGACACCACAGAGACACCACACACAGACACCATAGAGACACCACACACAGACACCACACACTGACACCACACACAGACACCATAGAGACACCATAGAGACACCACACACAGACACCATAGAGACACCACACACAGACACCACACACAGACACCACAGAGACACCATAGAGACACCACACACAGACACCACACACAGACACCACAGAGACACCATAGAGACACCACACACAGACACCACACACAGACACCATAGAGACACCACACAGACACCACACACAGATACCATAGAGACACCACACACAGACACCATAGATACACCATAGAGACACCACACACAGACACCATAGAGACACCATAGAGACACCACACACAGACACCATAGAGACACCACAGAGACACCACACACAGACACCATAGAGACACCACACACAGACACCATAGAGACACCATAGAGACACCATAGAGACACCACACACAGACACCACAGAGACACCACACACAGACACCACACACAGACACCACACACAGACACCATAGAGACACCACAGAGACACCACACACAGACACCATAGAGACACCACACACAGACACCACAGAGACACCACACACAGACACCACAGAGACACCACACACAGACACCATAGAGACACCATAGAGACACCACACACAGACACCATAGAGACACCATAGAGACACCATAGAGACATCATAGAGACACCACACACAGACACCACACAGACACCATAGAGACACCATAGAGACACCACACACAGACACCATAGAGACACCATAGAGACACCACACACAGACACCACACACAGACACCATAGAGACACCACACACAGACACCACACATAGACACCATAGAGACACCACACACAGACACCATAGAGACACCATAGAGACACCACACACAGACACCGCAGAGACACCACACACAGACACCACAGAGACACCACACAAAGACACCATAGAGACACCATAGAGACACCACACACAGACACCATAGAGACACCATAGAGACACCACACACAGACACCACACACAGACACCATAGAGACACCACACACAGACACCATAGAGACACCATAGAGACACCACACACAGACACCACAGAGACACCACACACAGACACCACAGAGACACCACACACAGACACCAGAGACACCATAGAGACACCACACACAGACACCACATAGAGACACCACATAGAGACACCACACAGACACCATAGAGACACCACACACAGACACCGTAGAAACACCACACACAGACACCACAGAGACACCATAGAGACACCACACACAGACACCACAGAGACACCACACACAGACACCACAGAGACACCACACACAGACACCACAGAGACACCACACACAGACACCGTAGAGACACCACACAGACACCACAGAGACACCACACACAGACACCGTAGAGACACCACACACAGACACCATAGAGACACCATAGAGACACTACAGAGACACCATAGAGACACCACACACAGACACCACAGAGACACCACACACAGACACCACAGAGACACCACACACAGACACCGTAGAGACACCACACACAGACACCGTAGAGACACCACACACAGACACCACAGAGACACCACACACAGACACCACAGAGACACCACACACAGACACCACAGAGACACCACACACAGACACCACAGAGACACCACACACAGACACCATAGAGACACCATGGAGACACCACAGAGACACCATAGAGACACCACACACAGACACCACAGAGACACCACACACAGACACCATAGAGACACCACACACAGACACCATAGAGACACCACACACAGACACCATAGAGACACCATAGAGACACCATAGAGACACCACACACAGACACCATAGAGACACCATAGAGACACCACACACAGACACCACAGAGACACCACACACAGACACCACAGAGACACCACACACAGACACCAGAGACACCATAGAGACACCACACACAGACACCACATAGAGACACCACACACAGACACCGTAGAGACACCACACACAGACACCATAGAGACACCATAGAGACACCACACACAGACACCACAGAGACACCACACACAGACACCACAGAGACACCACACACAGACACCGTAGAGACACCACACACAGACACCGTAGAGACACCACACACAGACACCATAGAGACACCACACACAGACACCACAGAGACACCACAAGACACCATAGAGACACCATAGAGACACCACAGAGACACCATAGAGACACCACACACAGACACCACAGAGACACCACACACAGACACCATAGAGACACCACACACAGACACCATAGAGACACCACACACAGACACCATAGAGACACCACACACAGACACCATAGAGACACCATAGAGACACCACACACAGACACCACAGAGACACCACACACAGACACCACAGAGACAGCACACACAGACACCGTAGAGACACCACACACAGACACCGTAGAGACACCACACACAGACACCACAGAGACACCACACACAGACAACGTAGAGACACCACACACAGACACCGTAGAGACACCACACACAGACACCATAGAGACACCATAGAGACACCACAGAGACACCATAGAGACACCACACACAGACACCACAGAGACACCACACACAGACACCGTAGAGACACCACACACAGACACCGTAGAGACACCACACACAGACACCACAGAGACACCACACACAGACACCACAGAGACACCACACACAGACACCATAGAGACACCATGGAGACACCACAGAGACACCATAGAGACACCACACACAAGACACCACAGAGACACCACACACAGACACCATAGAGACACCACACACAGACACCATAGAGACACCACACACAGACACCATAGAGACACCACAGAGACACCATAGAGACACCACACACAGACACCACAGAGACACCACACACAGACACCATAGAGACACCACAGAGACACTATAGAGACACCACACACACACACCACACACACCACACACAGACACCACAGAGACACCACACACAGACACCATAGAGACACCACACACAGACACCATAGAGACACCACAGAGACACCACACACAGACAACATAGAGACACCACACACAGACACCATAGAGACACCACAGAGACACCATAGAGACACCACACACCACACACACCACACACAGACACCATAGAGACACCACACACCACTATATACACCACACACACCACACACACCACTATATACATCACACACACACACTACTATATACACACACCACTATATACACCACTATATACACCACTATATCCACTATATACACCACACACACCACACACACCATACACACCACACACCACTCACACGCCTACCTCACCACGCCCCTTACTCCCTCTCACCACCTCCATCGCCTCACCTCCCCCACCCACTCTCACCAACCCCCCCACACCTCACCCCCCCCGCCCACCCCACTACCTCTCACCACCTCCATCCCCCGTTCCTCTGCCATCCTCTCACCCCTCCCCCCCACCTGAACTGGAGGGCGTTCTGTGCCTGGGCGGCCTCCAGCACGCGCAGGAGGTTGGAGCCGCTGGGCACGGTCACGTGGACACTGTTGTCGAAGGTGTGGCCCAGGCCGTCGGTGGCCTGGTAGGTCACTCCGATGGGCCACGACGAGTTGCCGGCGGGCGGGCTCAGCGTCAGCTCGCTGTGCAGGTCGTGGACGCTGTCTGCAGAGCAAACGGCAGGAGAACAAAATCGATTTCATGCCACCACAGGTTGACCACCACCACCAACATTCACATGGTGCAGCAGGTTGACCACCAGCACCATTCACAAGGTGGTGATGATCACCACCAGCACCATTCACATGGTGGTGATGATCACCACCAGCACCATTCACATGGTGGTGATGATCACCACCAGCACCATTCACATGGTGGTGATGATCACCACCAGCACCATTCACATGGTGGTGATGATCACCACCAGCACCATTCACATGGTGGTGATGATCACCACCAGCACCATTCACATGGTGGTGATGATCACCACCAGCACCATTCACATGGTGGTGATGATCACCACCAGCACCATTCACATGGTGGTGATGATCACCACCAGCACCATTCACATGGTGGTGATGATCACCACCAGCACCATTCACATGGTGGTGATGATCACCACCAGCACCATTCACATGGTGGTGATGATCACCACCAGCACCATTCACATGGTGGTGATGATCACCACCAGCACCATTCACATGGTGGTGATGATCACCACCAGCACCATTCACATGGTGGTGATGATCACCACCAGCACCATTCACATGGTGGTGATGATCACCACTACCACCATTCACAAGGTGGTGATTACCATCACCACCATTCACATGGTGGTGATGGTGATCACCACCACCATTCACATGGTGTAACAGGTTGACCATCATCACCAGTCACAAGGTGGTGATCATCACCACCACCACCACCACTCACATGGTGCAGCAGGTTGACCAGCACCACCACCACCACTCAAATGGTGCAACAGGTTAACCACCACCACCAATTACAACCCCAAGTGGCGATTGTCCCTGTGCATTACCTACCATTGACCACAGCCACACACCTCACCACCAACCCCCCCATTGTGCCACGGAGGCCCCACCCAGGTCCGCTCACCGTCGTCACCCACGCAGGTGATGCGCGGCACGGCCAGGTAGGTGGTGCCCAGCAGCGTGGGCAGCAGCTGGGCCAGGGCCCCAGGGGAGGCGTTGAACTCCCCGGCCACGGCGGCGGCGAAGAGGAAGGTGCGGGAGGCGTTGCCCCCGTCCCAGCCGCTCACGTTCACCCCGCTCCCTTGGGCAGCCTGCAGGGCCTGGTGGGGGTACGGGGGGGGGGGGTGTTTGATTGCTGTGCCAGGCGAGGTGCAGGAGGAGGAGGTCACGTGACAGACCCTGCAGTTGCCATGGGTTGACCGAGACGATTTGCAGATGCACCACCTGTGCCCCTACTATGTTTTAGACACCCCAGCGCTCCACTCGTTGTTGTGAGCATCGCTCCTCTGTTGTTGCTGGAGGGCGACTGCCTCCAACTGCTCAGTCGCGTCCTCACGAGCCTCCTCCATAGAGGCCGATCTTGACACCGCTGGTATCGATTATCGGCAAGTCCACTCAGCTCCACATTCTTTTGTCAGACTATGCCGTGCCCGGTTAGCCCCCTCTATCCGGCCAAACAGACGCTGCTGGGGGCATGCAGTGGATGGGCATGCAGGCTACATGCCCCAGCCAATGGAGCTTTGCCTGCCGGAGGAGCTCAAATGGGACCATCCAAACCTTTCAAGGATATGCGAGCGGTTCAGACAACCCAGCCTGGTTAAACCCAGGATGGATCGTAGGCAGGCCAGCCTAATTGTTTCTAACCAACATAGGATTTTCACTTGGGGGTGGTCCTCGTTTTTCAAGCACAGAGAAAGAAGGGCGTAACACTTTTATATGGAAGCTACAGGCCAGGTAGCTTCCACACAGCGTTACGCAGCAATTGAAAAGAGATTTCCACCCACCCGATTCTGAGCGAGACCTCTGCTGTCGAACCAGAGCTGGTCATGAGCACACTGCCCAAAATGGCAAAACGACACTCGCTGGACAATGGCCCCATAACCTATGGCGAGTTGAGCAGGTGGAGTGTTTGATGGCACAAAATACCCAGGCAGGTGTTTATGTACGAATGTTGAACTTCTTTTCGCACCGTATGTAGCCGACTGTGCAAATCAGAGGCGTGAGCTTTGGTGCAGCTGAGGAACACTTCAGGTTTACCAGTAGAGCGTCCAACTGCTCCGAGTGAGCAGCAAATCACCAGATCAAACATAACATGGTTGACCAATAGGGAGCTATTTTCTCGACCTCACCCGGGCATCGATCAGCCTCCTATTGTATTTGTACCAGATGGAAATTGCTCCAGTACAGCCACAGAACGCTTCTCGAACTACGTGGTTACAAAAAGACGTGAAATAATGTCGGAGCCTGTAGACATCCCTGTCGCACTCAAGGTGAACAAGGAACGGCTTCGACTCCTGGCCATATCGTTATACCCGGGCCTGCCCACCATCATGAAGGTCCTTAATTGTTGTGAGCAGAGTCAGAGTCTCATAAAGCACTTGCAATGAATACTCCAGGGCTCGGGGTTGTTCTATTATTGGCCTTGGCCAGGTCAAGACAGCACAGCCAGAGAAGGCATCCAACGAATCGGCTTTGCCTGCATTCCTCCACTGATATCCATCTGTGTTGGGGGCAGAAGCCACGACCACCATTCCTTGCTTCCCATCGATGGGGAGTAGAGCCCACAGTCTGGGCCTGGCAACTTCCCACTCCTCACCGCCACGCTCCCACACCCCCCCCCCCCCCCCTTCATTCCGTTGTTCACAAGCACCACCTCGTGGAGGAATGGCAATCCACTAAGACCACAGCCCCCCCACCAGCCAGCCAGCCCCCCCCCACCAGCCAGCCAGCCCCCCACCAGCCAGCCAGCCCCCCACCTGTACGGCGAGGGCGGTGCTGTAGATGTTGCCGATGGCTCCGTTTCCCGAGCGATGCCCCAGCAGCAGCGAGGCGAGGCTCTGGGCTGCCGCGGCCACGGCAGTGGCGAGCGTGGGGGGCCGCAGGAGCGGAGTCCCCTTGAGGCACGACAGCGCCACCAGCGCCTGGGATGCCTCGTCTGGGGGGGGGGGAGGGAGATGTTCGCTCAGCCCCCCACTCCTCGCTCGTCCAGCCCCTCCGTTTTAATCTCAGAAGAGGCAAAGATCACCACCCCCCCCCGTACAGCCTACACTCGGTCGTGGGCCAAGTGCCGTTAGCAAGTAGCAGCACCCATCAAGTCCTCCCACTCCGCAGTGGTGATGTTTGTTGGACACCACTGGGAAGTTGGAGTCGCCCGCCGCTCGCTCACCGAGGGAGTGGGGCCCGTCGCCAGACCCCTGGAGCAGGGCCCAGCTCGCGAGCTTCTCCACGGCGTCGGGGTCCACGCTGGCGTTGAGGATGCACAGCGCCTGCGTGGCGAGCGCATACTGGTAGTAGGTGGTGAGCGGCCTCCCAGCCAGCGCTGAGGGGAGAGAGCGCAGATACGGGGGGGGGGGGGTTCACCACGGCCACCACCACGACTACTACCACCACCACCACCACGACTACCACCACAACTACCACGACTACTACCACCACCACCACCACGGCCACCACTACCTCCACCACCACCACTACCTCCACCACCACCACTACCTCCACCACCACCACTACCTCCACCACCACCACCACGACTACCTCCACCACCACTACCTTCACCACCACCACGACTACCTCCACCACCACCACTACCACCACCACGACTACCTCCACCACCACGACAGCTACCTCCACCACCACCACTACCTTCACCACCACGACTACCACCGCCACGACTACCACCACCACCACCACAGCTAACTCCACCACCACCACGGCTACCTCCAACACCACCGCCACTACTACCAGCACCACCACGGCCACCACCACCATCACCACTACCTTCACCACCACCGACGACGTCACCGCTACATCACCCCCCCCCCCCCCCCCCCGCGCGTGTCCCCACGTCGCACCAACGCTGCGCCGCTCCTCGTCGAGCCGCTGGTCCAGGATGCCGAGGAGGTCGACGCGGACCCAGCCCAGGCGCATGGCCTCCACGGGCAGGCACGAGGCCCTCAGCGCCAGCACCATCAGCGCCAGCAGCCCCGACGGGACGGCCTCGCCGCGACGGGGCCTCTCGTCCGGGTCGGTCACCTGCCCCGGGCAGCTGTGGGACAAAATCCCATCCCCGCGTTATAGAGCGGCGTCTGCATGGACGACTTCTTCCGCACCGTACGTAGCCAGTCGTGTTACTCGGGAGGTGTGGGGGAAGAAGAAGAAGAAGAACAACAAGAAGAGAAGACGATCTCAAGACGAGAAACAAGAGGAGGTTTTACCCATTCTGGCGATCAAACGGGGGTTGCGTTAAGAAGTTCAAACACCGAATGGAACCTGGGAGCGGCGGTGGCGGTCGCTGCTACGCTGCCCTGCGGACCCGGCTACGTCCCGAGGTTCCGATTCTCGCTCACGGCCACCAACACCGGGCGACGATTCTCCGAACCGATCCTGGCCCTCCCCTAGGTCGACTCGGCCTCAAACGAGTACCCGGGTGGGTCGGCGCGTGTAAAATAATCGCCACTGGGGAGACAAAGGCGGCCGGGCGCCGTTGCCGGCCACCCACCCCCTCGCGTACCGCCGCCGGCATTCGTCGGGCGCCGCGATTCACCAACAGCACTTGCCCCAACAGTCCGCCGAGGCTACACGGGGGACCTTTGTCTCTTGGGGGAGGAGGAGGGGTCGGCGAACCTGCGGTCGAGGTGCAGGTCGGCGAGGCGCGCCAGCAGCTGCTTGAGGAAGGAGCGCTCCATGCGCAGGTTGTGCACCGGTGCCAGGCGCAGTGCACACAGCACCGTGGGGTCGACCAGGAAGCTCTCGTCCGAGGGTCGCGTCGAGTTCAGCAGCACCTTGACCACGGCCAGGACCACGGCCGACTCGTTCGCCGGTGCCGCTAGGGGGAGGGGTGGGGGGAGGAGCCAGGAGGAGGTGGGGGGGGGGTCTCAGTGCTCCATGGGGGGGGGGTCTCAGTGCTCCACCCCCAAGGGGGGGGTCTCAGTGCTCCACCCCCAAGGGGGGGGGTCTCAGTGCCCCACCCCTCCCCGTGGAGCAGCATGAACCATCACCACACAGACTGCGGTCATCCTCGCTGCAGCGGCTCGCCGTGGATCAACAAAGGCGGTGGGGGCACCGGCTTCTGTGGCCGTCTGGAACGCTCTTCCTTCTGACAATAGGAAGCCATTGGGAGCCGTGCTACTTTGCAATCATCGCCGAGGTCGACAAACTCGTTTCTTTAGAACCGCTTTGTGCCTTTAGTTTGTTGTGGTCACCCCCCCCCCGCCACGAACCGTAGGGTTGGCTACGTACGGTGCGAAATAAGTGAAACACACAGTAGCGTACACACTGTGTGTGTGTGTCTGTGTGTGTGTGTCTATATGCGTGTGTGTGTCTATGTGCGTGTCTCTATGCGTATGTGTGTCTATGTGTATGTGTGTCTATGTGTGTGTGTGTCTATTTGTATGTGTGTCTGTGTGTATGTGTGTCTGTGTGTGTGTGTCTGTGTGTGTGTCTATGTGTGTGTGTCTATGTGTGTGTGTATGTGTCTGTGTCTATGTGTCTGTGTCTATGTGTCTGTGTCTATGTGTCTGTGTGTCTATGTGTGTCTATGTGTCTGTATGTGAGTGTGTGTCTGTGTGTCTATGTGTGTGTGTGTCTATGTGTCTATGTGTGTGTCTCTTTATGTGTGTGTGTCTCTCTATGTGTGTGTGTCTGTGTGTCTATGTGTCTGTGTGTCTCTTTATGTGTGTGTCTCTCTATGTGTGTGTGTCTGTGTGTCTCTGCGTCTCTATGGGTCTCCTGACAAGGGGGCTGTCAAGCGGCCACGACCAATCCTGCAGGAGCGGTGCGCGACGACTTTCCGGTGCGGCCGAGCGAGGGTAAAACTTTGTTTTATTTAAAACTACTCTTAAACATCATTACAGCAGTGCGTGCCGAATGTGGTGGTACCTGCTATCACTACAGTAGTACATGTCGACTCTATAGCAGTGTTTAGCGACTGTATAGCACAAAGTATTCATCTGACAGAGTGGCGTGGCGGGGCCTAGTCCCGTGCAGAGCCTCCGGCCTCGCCTAGATTGTCCAGCCGGCCGAGGTGGCACCTTGGCAGGCTGGGGAGCGACCCCTGACCCCCCCCCCCCCCCAGCCACAATCTCCCGGGCCGCCTTGCAGTAATATCAAGTGCTAGCATGTAGCGACTGTATATATTAGTAACTGCACGCATCGGGGTGAGGGGGACATCACACAGTGAAGAATTCGCTTCAGCGTTTAGTGTATTTTTAACACTAAAGAAAATGTCCCCCTCACTCCCACCGTGCGACTTGGCATGGTCATGCATGCGTCATCAATAAATACATACAATGGAAGCGCACAAAAATCGCACTAAATCGCTAATTAAACTAATTTAAAGTTGACGGATGTGAAAAAGGAATAGCGCTTGCTGACCGTGGGGCTTACGGCGTGGTGCCTGGCTATTTTATTTTTTCGCATAAACCCCACGGTTGGAGAGCCAAGCGCGCGACCACACACAAACCCACGCACAATTTTGGACTTTTATAAATATATGTCGTGGAGTAGGAAGGTGCTTAGTGCAAACAGGGTGATTGCAGGGAACCAAAGAACGTACGGGTTATGTCGGGTCAGCCAGGAGGTGTGGTGGCTGGGACGGAGAGGTTACGTTAGGCCAATTAAGCCAGGAGGCCGGAGGCGGCTGTGATTGGCTGGTGTTGTTGCTGGGGCCGAAGTGGCGCCGAGATGTCTGGCCGGGGAGCAGGTGTGGTAGACGCGGAGCTCGTTGGGACGCGGCTTAATTAATGAGAGCGAGGACGCAGTGATAGGGGGGGGGGGAGTTGGCGTTAGCAGTGGAGCAGGGAGTCGAAGTTTGGAGAGCTTGGAGATGGAGGTTGTTGAAGTTGGGGAGCTTGGAGTGAACAGCGGGGAATTGAGAGTTGGAGTCGGGGGCTGGACGAGGCAGGACGTGGAACCAGAGTTCGGAGACAGAGTTTGGAGCGGAGCTGAACAAGAGAAGCAGCCAGCAGTGGAGAGAGCGTAGCGATAGCGGAGCTGAACAGAGACGAAGCAGTTAGCAGTGGAGAGAGCGTAGTGACGGTGATAGCGGAGAGCGGCGACAGAGAAGTTAGCGGTGGAGTAAGCGAAGTAATCGTGGGGGAGTGGAGAGACAAAGGTGGCGAGCGAGCCGTGGTGACCAGGATGCTGCAAAATATTGAGGACATGCTGAGAGTTGTAAATAAAGCGGTGTTCGGAGAAAGACAGAAGTTGTCCGAGTGAAATCGAACGCTACATATATATAGAAGATAAACTCCTCCAGGTGCGGGAAAAGCATGGAAGAGTATGGAAAACCGGTTACACCGGCTGGATGAGATGAACACCACCACGCCGTGTTCATCTCCACCACCACCACCACGCTGTGTTCACCACCACCACCACTCCGTGTTCATCTCCACCACCACCACCACGCCATGTTCATCTCCACCACCACCACGCCGTGTTCATCTCCACCACCACCACCACCCCGTGTTCACCCCCCCCCCTACCGGCGACGGAGCTGTGCAGGAGGACGGCGACTGCCACCAGCAGCAGCGCCAGGGCGTGGCCAGGGCGAGCCATGACGAGCGAGCAGCCTCCTGTCACTGCAGACACCACACAGAGACACGGCACAGACAGAGACACCACACAGACACCACACAGAGACACGGGCACAGACAGAGACACCACACAGAGACACCGAGAGAGTCACTCACTGCAGACACCACACAGAGACACGGCACAGACAGAGACACCACACAGACACCACACAGACACCGAGAGAGAGAGTCACTCACTGCAGACACCACACAGAGACACGGCACAGACAGAGACACCGAAAGAGAGACACTCGCACAGACACCACACAGAGACACGGCACAGACAGAGACACCGAGAGAGACACCACACAGACACCACACAGAGACACGGCACAGACAGAGACACCGAGAGAGAGAGAGTCACTCGCACAGACACCACACAGAGACACGGCACAGACAGAGACACCGAGAGAGAGACACTCGCACAGACACGGCACAGACAGAGACACCGAGAGAGATTCACTCACGACCATTACACGACCACACGAGGCATTCTTGCAGTTTGAGTTTAGATTTCGACCCAGGAGAGGACCCTGTTCGGATATTCGCCACTGAACGCGCGAGGCGTTCACCTCCGATAAATTAATAATTCACGTGCCCCTCTCTCAGGGTAATCATCACATCTAGGGCCCATCCACTGCTGGATGGAGATCACTGTGCTGGTGATGATGATGTCTCTAGCCTGCGCGTGCCCTCCAATCCACGTGTTCCCAATTTAATTCGTCTCCTATTTAAACGAAACGTCGAAATTTAAACTTTTAAACTCTACTCGGATATTCTTAGCTCTTTCGGTAAAGTCACGTTGTTTCCCTTGCACGTGACTTTACCGAAAGAGCTAAGAATATGAATTACTGCAGTCACGAAAGCTTTAAATCAAACTCTACTCGGATATTTTATTATTCACGTGGTGGGGATTATTTATAGCAGCAGACAACAACCTGAACCCTGCATCACAGACTCAACTAGAGCGACTTTATTATCCACCTGGTGGGTATTATTTATAGCGGCATACAACCTGAACCCTGCATCACAGACTCAACTAGAGCGACTTTATTATCCACCTGGTGGGGATTATTTATAGCGGCAGACAACCTGAACCCTGCATCACAGACTCAACTAGAGCGACTTTATTATCCACCTGGTGGGTATTATTTATAGCGGCAGACAACAACCTGAACCCTGCATCACAGACTCAACTAGAGCGACTTCATTATTCACCTGGTGGGGATTATTGAGAGCGGCAGACAACCTGAACCCTGCATCACAGACTCAACTAGAGCGACTTCATTATCCACCTGGTGGGGATTATTGAGAGCGCCAGACAACAACCTGAACCCTACATCACAGACTCAACTAGAGCGACTTTATTATCCACCTGGTGGGGATTATTTATAGCGGCAGACAACAACCTGAACCCTGCATCACAGACTCAACTAGAGCGACTTTATTATCCACCTGGTGGGGATTATTGAGAGCGCCAGACAACAACCTGAACCCTGCATCACAGACTCAACTAGAGCGACTTTATTATCCACCTGGTGGGGATTATTGAGAGCGCCAGACAACAACCTGAACCCTACATCACAGACTCAACTAGAGCGACTTTATTATCCACCTGGTGGGGATTATTTATAGCGGCAGACAACAACCTGAACCCTACATCACAGACTCAACTAGAGCGACTTTATTATCCACCTGGTGGGGATTATTTATAGCGGCAGACAACAACCTGAACCCTACATCACAGACTCAACTAGAGCGACTTTATTATCCACCTGGTGGGGATTATTGAGAGCGCCAGACAACAACCTGAACCCTACATCACAGGCTCAACTAGAGCGACTTTATTATCCACCTGGTGGGGATTATTTATAGCGGCAGACAACAACCTGAACCCTACATCACAGACTCAACTAGAGCGACTTTATTATCCACCTGGTGGGGATTATTTATAGCGGCAGACAACAACCTGAACCCTACATCACAGACTCAACTAGAGCGACTTTATTATCCACCTGGTGGGGATTATTTATAGCGGCAGACAACAACCTGAACCCTACATCACAGACTCAACTAGAGCGACTTTATTATCCACCTGGTGGGTATTATTGAGAGCGCCAGACAACAACCTGAACCCACGATTCTCAACGTGGAGGAGAGAAACGAGAGGAGCAGGAACCCCGCAGACAAACCCAGGCGGACCGTGGGTAGCGAGAGCGACACAGACTGCGGGTTCAAGTCGCCTTGGTTCGCAGGTCACCCCGGAACCAGAACAACTCGAACCTGCGATCCGTCCCAGTATCGCCTTACCGCCGTTGCTGCGCGCATCATCACATCACTAACGTAGCAGTAGCAGCAGCAGCGTCATTAAACTCACCCAGAGTCAGCGGCGGCGACAGCGGCGCCGGTAAATAGCCAGAGGCAGTAGCAGTGGAGAGAACCTGTCTGTTGAGACCAGTAACAGTAAAGTGAACCTGTCTGTAGAGAGAGAGAACAGCAGCAGTAAAGTGAACCTGTCTGCTGTGTAACGAGGCTGTCTGTAGAGAACAACAGCAGTAGAGTGAACCTGTCTATAGAGAGAGAGACTAACAGTAGTGAACCTGTCTGCTGTGTAACGAGGCTGTCTGTAGAGAGAGACTAACAGTAGAGTGAACCTGTCTGTAGAGAGAGACTAACAGTAGAGTGAACCTGTCTGTAGAGAACAGTAACAGTAAAGTGAACCTGTCTGTAGAGAACAACAGCAGTAGACTGAACCTGTCTGTAGAGAGAGACTAACAGTAGAGTGAACCTGTCTGTAGAGAGAGACTAACAGTAGAGTGAACCTGTCTGCTGTGTAACGAGGCTGTCTGTAGAGAGAGAGAGACTAACAGTAGAGTGAACCTGTCTGTAGAGAGAGACTAACAGTAGAGTGAACCTGTCTGTAGAGAGAGAGACTAACAGTAGAGTGAACCTGTCTGCTGTGTAACGAGGCTGTCTGTAGAGAGAGAGACTAACAGTAGAGTGAACCTGTCTGTAGAGAGAGACTAACAGTAGAGTGAACCTGTCTGTAGAGAGAGACTAACAGTAGAGTGAACCTGTCTGTAGAGAGAGACTAACAGTAGAGTGAACCTGTCTGTAGAGAGAGAGACTAACAGTAGAGTGAACCTGTCTGCTGTGTAACGAGGCTGTCTGTAGAGAGAGAGACTAACAGTAGAGTGAACCTGTCTGTAGAGAGAGACTAACAGTAGAGTGAACCTGTCTGTAGAGAGAGACTAACAGTAGAGTGAACCTGTCTGTAGAGAGAGACTAACAGTAGAGTGAACCTGTCTGTAGAGAGAGAGACTAACAGTAGAGTGAACCTGTCTGCTGTGTAACGAGGCTGTCTGTAGAGAGAGAGACTAACAGTAGAGTGAACCTGTCTGTAGAGAGAGACTAACAGTAGAGTGAACCTGTCTGTAGAGAGAGAGACTAACAGTAGAGTGAACCTGTCTGTAGAGAGAGACTAACAGTAGAGTGAACCTGTCTGCTGTGTAACGAGGCTGTCTGTAGAGAGAGAGACTAACAGTAGAGTGAACCTGTCTGTAGAGAGAGACTAACAGTAGAGTGAACCTGTCTGCTGTGTAACGAGGCTGTCTGTAGAGAGAGAGAGACTAACAGTAGAGTGAACCTGTCTGTAGAGAGAGACTAACAGTAGAGTGAACCTGTCTGTAGAGAGAGACTAACAGTAGAGTGAACCTGTCTGTAGAGAGAGACTAACAGTAGAGTGAACCTGTCTGTAGAGAGAGACTAACAGTAGAGTGAACCTGTCTGTAGAGAGAGACTAACAGTAGAGTGAACCTGTCTGTAGAGAGAGACTAACAGTAGAGTGAACCTGTCTGTAGAGAGAGACTAACAGTAGAGTGAACCTGTCTGTAGAGAGAGACTAACAGTAGAGTGAACCTGTCTGCTGTGTAACGAGGCTGTCTGCTCCCCGCTATTTGAGCGCTCCCAGGGGGGGCGGCTCCGGCACGCCCACAATGAGCGCTGCCGTGGGCCCAGCAACACCTGTGGGGGTGGGGTGGGGGTGGGGAGTGGGGGTGGGGAGTGGGGGGTGGGGGGGATAGAGGTGGGGGGGGGGGGATAGAGGTGGGGGGGGTTGGAGAGTGGGGGGAGTGGGAGGGGGAGTGGGGTGAGTGGGGGGTGGGAATGGGGGGTAGAGGTGGGGGGTAGAGGTGGGGGGGGGATAGAGGTGGGGGGGATAGAGGTGGGGGGGGATAGAGGTGGGGGGTGGGGGGGGGATAGAGGTGGGGGGGGGATAGAGGTGGGGGGGATAGAGGTGGGGGGGATAGAGGTGGGGGGATAGAGGTGGGGGGGATAGAGGTGGGGGGATAGAGGTGGGGGGGATAGAGGTGGGGGGATAGAGGTGGGGGGATAGAGGTGGGGGGGATAGAGGTGGGGGGGATAGAGGTGGGGGGGGATAGAGGTGGGGGGGATAGAGGTGGGGGGATAGAGGTGGGGGGATAGAGGTGGGGGGTGTGCAGTGATTCTCGCGCTGCGCTACGAACCCGAGTTTTGATTCCCGCTCACGGCCACCAACCCACCACAGTGATGGAGATTATCTGAGACCAACTCAGCCTCCCCTCGGTCGTAGGCGTGTTCTGTGTGTACACGTGTTGTGTGTGTACACGTGTTGTGTGTGTACACGTGTTGTGTGTGTACACGTGTTGTCTGTGTGTGTGTACACGTGTTGTGTGTACACGTGTTGTTTGTGTGTGTGTACACGTGTTCTGTGTGTGTGTACACGTGTTCTCTGTGTGTGTACACGTGTTCTCTGTGTGTGTACACGTGTTCTGTGTGTGTACACGTGTTGTGTGTACACGTGTTGTCTGTGTGTGTACACGTGTTCTGTGTGTGTACACGTGTTGTCTGTGTGTGCATGTGTTGTTTGTGTGTGTGTACACGTGTTGTGTGTACACGTGTTGTTTGTGTGTGTACACGTGTTCTGTGTGTGTGTACACGTGTTCTCTGTGTGTGTACACGTGTTGTGTGTGCGTGTGTACACGTGTTCTCTGTGTGTGTGTACACGTGTTCTCTGTGTGTGTGTACACGTGTTGTGTGTGTGTATGTACACGTGTTCTCTCTGTGTGTGTACACGTGTTCTCTGTGTGTGTGTGTACACGTGTTGTGTGTATGTATGAACACGTGTTCTCTCTGTGTGTGTACACGTGTCCCGCTCACGGCCAACACCAGTGACGATTATCTGAACCGGGTCCTCGGCTTGCCCTAGGTCGACTCAGCCTCAACTGAGTAGTAACGTTGTGCCGTGCGCAGTAAACATCGCTAGCACTGGGGAGACAAAGGCGGGCAGGAGGGCGTGGTGCTGGCCACCCACCCCCTCGTGTTGCCGTGACGGCCTTCAGAGATGCTGCGACTCGCGAACAGCACTTGCCCCAAAAGTCTGTCAAGGCTACACGATGGGGGCGGAATCTTTGTCTTTGTTCGTAACAAGGCCACATATATAACAGGCGACGTTTCGGGCAATGAACCCTCGTCCTCCTCCTTCATGACACGACGATAGAGGAGGAGGGGCGAGTGGGGAGAGCGAGTTAACGACGATACCCCTGGGGCCCCGGTGGTGGTGATGAGTCTCGCATTGTCAAGGCGATTCCACAGCACCAGCTTTGTATTGTCAGCAGCAGCAGCAGCACGCGTCAGGCATTGGGAGCTGTTGTGATGAAGCTCAATGACGGACACAGGAAGACACACAATCACGTATCTGTGTGGCCCCTTCCTAGCCGGTGTGACGGCGACGATTATGATGGCAACTAGGCTTGATGTGAATGTCTGTGTGTGAATGTCTGTGGGTGAATGTCTGTGTGTGAATGTCTGTGTGTGAATGTCTGTGTGTGTGAATGTCTGTGTGTGAATGTCTGTGTGTGTGTGAATGTCTGTGTGTGTGTGTGAATGTCTGTGTGTGTGAATGTCTGTGTGTGTGAATGTGTGTGTGAATGTCTGTGTGTGTGTGAATATCTGTGGTGTGTGGATGTCTGTGTGTGTGAATGTGTGTGTGAATGTGTGTGAATGTGTGTGTGAATGTGTGTGTGAATGTCTGTGTGTGTGTGAATGTGTGTGTGAATGTCTGTGTGTGTGAATGTCTGTGTGTGTGTGAATGTCTGTGTGTGTGAATGTCTGTGTGTGAATGTCTGTGTGTGTGAATGTCTGTGTGTGTGTGAATATCTGTGTGTGAATATCTGTGTGTGTGAATGTCTGTGTGTGTGCATGTGTGTGTGAATGTGTGTGTGAATGTCTGTGTGTGTGTGAATGTGTGTGTGAATGTGTGTGTGTGAATGTGTGTGTGTGAATGTGTGTGTGAATGTGTGTGTGTGTGAATGTGTGTGTGTGAATGTGTGTGTGTGAATGTGTGTGTGAATGGTCCGGAAAAACAACCCCCTACCTACTCGTGGGGCCGGACGGGCAATGCTGCCGTGGACATTGCTGTTGGAGGGAGGGCCAATTCCGATTGGCCTTTCATGGTATCTGTGACCACCACAGTGGTTAAATGGGGGCTCTGGACGTGTGCCAGGGGATGGTAACCCCTCCACCTTCAATTAACTACCACTAAACTACGACCGAAAAATGTAATTAACAAGCTTGTGCCGGAGGCCCCGGGGGGACAGGCGTCTATGACGTGGACAGTCCTATACTCGGGGGCAGGAGCCTGCAAACAACAGGGAGTGGCTCTTCTTCTGAATAAAATAATGAAGAGGGCATTGGAGCGTGGTGGTGAGGGGTGAGAAGCTGTAAGCCCCAGGCTACTTTGGGTTCGCCTTCCCATCAACCGGAGGCGAGGAGTGGTGGTCGTGGTTACGTATGCCTCCACCGAAGACGAACATCTGTGGAGGGATGCAATCAAGGCTGATGAGTCAGATGCCTTCTATGAACTCCTGTCACAGGCGCTAGCTAAAGTGGCCCTTCGGGATAGAGTCATTTGTTGGGTGACTTTAATGCCCGAGTTGGCCATGATGCTGGCACCTGGTTTGGAGTGATTGGAAGGCATGCGCCAGATCAGCTCAATAACAATGGTAGGAGGCTGCTACATTTTTGTGCAGCCCATGGGCTTGTACTTACCAACACGGTGTTCCGGCATCGGCGCATCCATACAACATCATGGATGCATGCCGGGTTCAAGCAAGAACATCTGCTGGACTACGTAGGGACAGAACAGTGGATGCGGGCCCATGTCCTTGACACCAAGACCTACCATGGAGCTGATCTACCCTATGCCCATCGACTAGTCATCTGGAAGATACACCTGTCATTCTTCCACTCCGGTGGTGGGTGTACACCCAGGACCCCATTCAAACCTAAGATGGCTTGGTCTCAGCTAGCTGATGAAAGTTGCAGGCAAGAATTTCATCATCGCTTGAAGCTGGGGTTGGCATCGTCCCCAACTCCTCCAGATGTCGAGGGTAAATGGGTGAGGTTTAGGACCGTGACTCAGGCAGCTGCAATGGCTGCTTTGGGTACGCGGTCCAGACCTCCCCAGAGACCCTGGCTGACAGACAAGGTGTTCAGGATGGCTGAGAAAAAGCGACAGGCCCACTGTCATCGGCTACAGAATCCCACGTCAGATAATGAGGAGGCTTACCACAGCCTTCGCTCGGAGGTTCAGAGAGCCGTGAGGCGCTGCAAGGATGAGTGGTGGTCGCGGGTTGCTGAGGAAATGGAGTCTGCCTCAATGGCCCGCGATCATAAATCCCTTTTTAATTCCATCAAAAAAGTAACCTGCAGCACCACACCTATTACCATAATTAGGAGAAAAAACGGTGATCCAATCTCCGACCCCCAGGAACATGTTTGCAGATTTGCTGAACATATCTGTGAAGTCCTGGGGGAGGGGAAATCCCTCCACATGGAGAACATCGTAGGACAAAGTGGGGATGACCCTATATATTGGAAGAGGAAGTCACCCCCTGTGAGTGGCTGTCTGAAGTGCCATCTGTTGAGGAAGTACTGAAGGCGATCCAGAATCTGAGACCAGGAAAGGCACCGGGCAGAGATGATCTCCCAAGCGAAATGCTGGGGGAGGGTGGCGTTTGTGCACAGACTGCCCTATATGACATCATAACAACAGTCTGGACCACTGGAGGGGTTCCGCAGGACTGGAATGATGCCCTGGTGATCGTCATTTTTAAGAAGAGGGACCGCACAGACTGTAGCAACTACAGGGGCATCTCACTCCTCAGTGTATTTTGTACCATCGGGCACTCCACCCCCACAACTCCCAATCGGTGATGGGGCAGTTGTGGAGAGAGTGGAGAGTTTCCCATACCTGGGCAGTGTGCTTATGACTGGCTCCAGTTTAACAGCAGAGGTCTCACTCCGAATCAGTCAAGCGGCAATATCTTTTCACCGGTTGCGTAACGCTGTGTGGAAGCTACCTGGTCTGTCGCTCCGCACTAAGCTTCAGGTCTTCTCGGCCACGGTCATTCCCTCCCTTCTCTACGCTTGCGAAACGTGGACCCCCCTAATGGAACATCTTCGCCGGTTAGAAACATTTAGGCTGGCCTGCCTACGATCCATCCTGGGTTTAACCAGACTGGATTGTGTGAGGAGCTCACAAATCCTTGAAAGATCTGGGCAGGGTCCCATCGGTGAGCTCCTCCGGCAGGCAAGGCTGCGATGGCTGGGTCATGTAGCCCGCATGCCCAGCCACCGCATGCCGAAACAGCTTTTGTTTGGCCGGATTGAGGGGGCTAAGCGGGCGCGGCACGGGCTAGAGAAGAGATGGAGTGATGTGGTACAGGAGGACATGGAGCTGAGTGGACTTGCCGATGACTGGTACCAGCGGTGTCAAGATCGGCCTCTGTGGAGGAGGCTCGTGAAGGATGCTACTGGGCAGTTGGAGGCAGTCGCCCTCCAACAACAACGGAGGGCGGAGGAGCGACGCTCACAACAGCGAGCGGAGCGCCGGGTGGCTAAAGCACAGCAGGTTGGCACAGTAGGGGGCACAGGTGGTGCATCAGCCAGTCATCTCAGTCAGTCGACCCGTGGCACCTGGGTCTGCCCCGTGACCTCCTGCCAGCGGGCGTTCGACACTTCACGTGGCCTCAGGGTGCACATAGCCTGGCACAAGCGTCGTGGTGACGTCACCGCCACTTAGTGGCGAATGGCGGTTGTTGTTGTTGTGTGAATATCTGTGTGTGTGAATGTGTGTGTGAATGTCTGTGTGTGTGAATGTCTGTGTGTGTGAATGTCTGTGTGTGTGTGAATGTGTGTGTGTGAATGTCTGTGTGTGAATGTCTGTGTGTGAATGTCTGTGTGTTTGAATGTCTGTGTGTGTGAATGTCTGTGTGCGTTAATGTCTGTGTGTGTGAATGTGCGTGTGTGTGTGTTAATGTCTGTTTGTGAATGTCTGTGTGTGTGAATGTCTGTGTGTGTGAATGTATGTGTGTGTGAATGTCTGTGTGTGTGAATGTCTGTGTGTGTGAATGTCTGTGTGTGTGAATATCTGTGTGTGAATGTCTGTGTGTGAATGTCTGTGTGTGTGAATGTCTGTGAATGTGTGTGTGAATGTCGGTGTGTGAATGTGTGTGAATGTGTGTGTGTGAATGTGTGTGTGTGTCAATGTGTGTGTGAATGTGTGTGTGTGTGAATGTGTGTGTGAATGTGTGTGTGAATGTCTGTGTGTGTGAATGTGTGTGTGAATGTGTGTGTGAATGTGTGTGTGTGAATGGTCCGGAAAAACAACCCCCTACCTCCTCGTGGGGCCGGACGGGCAATGCTGCCGTGGACATTGCTGTTGGAGGGAGGGCCAATTGGGATTGGCCTTTCATGGTATCTGTGACCACCACAGTGGTTAAATGGGGGCTCTGGACGTGTGCCAGGGGATGGTAACCCCTCCACCTTCAATTAACTACCACTAAACTACGACCGAAAAATGTAATTAACAAGCTTGTGCCGGAGGCAGGCGTCTATGACGTGGACAGTCCTATACTCGGGGGCAGGAGACTGCCAAACAACAGGGAGTGGCTCTTCTTCTGAATAAAATAATGAAGGGGGCATGGGAGCGTGGTGGTGAGGGGTGAGTAGCTGTAAGCCCCAGGCTACTTTGGGTTCGCCTTCCCATCAACCGGAGGCGAGGAGTGGTGGTCGTGGTTACGTATGACTCCACCGAAGACGAACATCTGTGGAGGGATGCAATCAAGGCTGATGAGTCAGGTGCCTTCTATGAACTCCTGTCACAGGTGCTAGCTAAAGTGGCCCTTCGGGATAGAGTCATTTGTTGGGTGACTTTAATGCCCGAGTTGGCCATGATGCTGGCACCTGGTTTGGAGTGATTGGAAGGCATGGGCCAGATCAGCTCAATAACAATGGTAGGAGGCTGCTAGATTTTTGTGCAGCCCATGGGCTTGTAATTACCAACACGGTGTTCCGGCATCGGCGCATCCATACAACATCATGGATGCATGCCGGGTTCAAGCAAGAACATCTGCTGGACTACGTAGGGACAGAACAGTGGATGCGGGCCCATGTCCTTGACACCAAGACCAACCATGGAGCTGATCTACCCTATGCCCATCGACTAGTCATCTGGAAGATACACCTGTCATTCTTCCACTCCGGTGGTGGGTGTACACCCAGGACCCCATTCAAACCTAAGATGGCCTGGTCTCAGCTAGCTGATGAAAGTTGCAGGCAAGAATTTCATCATCGCTTGAGGCTGGGGTTGGCATCGTCCCCCACTCCTCCTGATGTCGAGGGTAAATGTGTGAGGTTTAGGACTGTGACTCAGGCAGCTGCAATGGCTGCTTTGGGTACGCGGTCCAGACCTCCCCAGAGACCCTGGCTGACAGACAAGGTGTTCAGGATGGCTGAGAAAAAGCGACAGGCCCACTGTCATCGGCTACAGAATCCCACGTCAGATAATGAGGCTTACCGCAGCCTTCGCTCGGAGGTTCAGAGAGCCGTGAGGCGCTGCAAGGATGAGTGGTGGTCGCGGGTTGCTGAGGAAATGGAGTCTGCCTCAATGGCCCGCGATCATAAATCCCTTTTTAATTCCATCAAAAAAGTAACCTGCAGCGCCACACCTATTACCATCATTAGGGGAAAAAACGGTGATCCAATCTCCAACCCCCAGGAACAGGTTTGCAGATTTGCTGAATATATCTGTGAAGTCCTGGGGGAGGGGAAATCTTTCCACATGGAGAACATCGTAGGACAAAGTGGGGATGACCCTATATATTGGAAGAGGAAGTCACCCCCTGTGAGTGGCTGTCTGAAGTGCCATCTGTTGAGGAAGTACTGAAGGCGATCCAGAATCTGAGACCAGGAAAGGCACCGGGCAGAGATGATCTCCCAAGCGAAATGCTGGGGGAGGGTGGCGTTTGTGCACAGACTGCCCTATATGACATCATAACAACAGTCTGGACCACTGGAGGGGTTCCGCAGGACTGGAATGATGCCCTGGTGATCGTCATTTTTAAGAAGGGGGACCGCACAGACTGTAACAACTACAGGGGCATCTCACTCCTCAGTGTGCCGGGAAAGGTCCTGGCAAGGATTATTCAACATCGCCTTGCCAGGCACGCTGAGGAGAGGCGCGTGGAGCCCCAATGTGGTTTCAGGAAAGGGCGGTCCTGCACAGATGTCATATCTTCTGTCCGTTTGCTACAGCAGAGGTGTAGGCAATTCCAACAAGACCTACATCTCAACTTTATTGACCTGGTCAAGGCCTATGATACCATCAGTAGGCCTGGGCTCTGGGTTGTTCTTCGTGCTTTCGGAGTCCCTGACCCACTGCTCACGATCATTAAGGACCTTCATGATGGTGGGCGGGCCCGGGTAAAACTACGTGGCCGGGAGTCAGAGCCATTCCCTGTTCACCTTGGGGTGCGACAGGGATGTCCACTGGCTCCAGCATTATTTAACATCTATTTCGACCACGTAGTTCGTGAAGCCTTCATTAGCTGTACCGGAGGAATTTCCATCTGGTATAGATGCAATGGGAGGCTGATCGATGCCCGGGTGCGGTCAAGGGATGGCTCCCTATTGGTCAACCACGTTTTGTATGCCGACGACCTGGTAATTGCGGCTGACTCAGAGGAGGCGTTGGAGGCGCTGCTGCTGAACCTGGAGTGAAGAGGTGTGGCCTTACCATCAGCCTCACCAAAACTAAGCACCTGCCTGGGTATCTTTGTACCATTGGGCACTCCACCCCCACAACTCCCAATCGGTGATGGGGCAGTTGTGGAGAGAGTGGAGAGTTTCTCATACCTGGGCAGTGTGCTCATGACCGGCTCCGGTTTAACAGCAGAGGTCTCACTCAGAATCAGTCGAGCGGCAATATCTTTTCATCGGTTGCGTAACGTTACTGTGTGGAAGCTACCTGGTCTGTAGCTCCGCACGAAGCTTCGGATCTTCTCGGCCACGGTCATTCCCTCCCTTCTCTACGCTTGCGTTTTGTTTACGTGACAACTCCCAAGCTGATTGGCCGTGTCGAGTGGTGGAGGGTTTAGACACAACATTTATACATAATAAAGGTTTTTTGGGTTAGATCGCGTTATTTATAAATATGTCGTAACCCTCCACCACCCGACACGGCCAATCAGCAAAATAAAGTGTCACGTTGACAAAAGACAATTAGTTCACTACTTTAGCCCACCGGTGTGTTGAAGAGTGAATCCACATTTACAGTTTGAGTAGTACGACGTTTCGCTGGTAATTACATGCAGCATCATCGGGCAATTCGCCAGAATGGTGAAGCCCTCGCTTGCTCCCGGTCTTAAATAGAGCAGCAGGGTGACGTTTTTTCTGATTGGCCGTGTCGGGTGGTGGAGGGTTACGACACATTTATAAATAACGCGATCTAACCCAAAAAAAAACCTTTATTATGAATAATATTGGTCGCGAAAGCCATCTACGTGTTAAAGCGACAACATTTATACTTACGCGATCTGATCCAACAACCTCTGTTGTGAACAAGTCAAAAGGTAACGCAACAACAACATCAGCCGTGGCGCAATAACAACAACATCAACATCAGCCGTGGTGCAATAACAACAACATCAACATCAGCCGTGGCGCAAAAACAACAACATCAACATCAGCCGTGGCGCAATAACAACAACATCAACATCAGCCGTGGTGCAATAACAACAACATCAACATCAGCCGTGGTGCAATAACAACAACAACAACAGCCGTGGCGCAATAACAACAACATCAACATCAGCCGTGGTGCAATAACAACATCAACATCAGCCGTGGTGCAATAACAACATCAGCCGTAGTGCAATAACAACAACATCAACATCAGCCGTGGTGCAATAACAACAACAACATCAGCCGTGGTGCAATAACAACAACAACAACATCAGCCGTGGTGCAATAACAACAACAACATCAGCCGTGGCGCAATAACAACAACATCATCAGCCGTGGTGCAATAACAACAACAACATCAGCCCTGGTGCAATAACAACAACATCAACATCAGCCGTGGTGCAATAACAACAACAACAACATCAGCCGTGGTGCAATAACAACAACAACATCAACATCAGCCGTAGTGCAATAACAACAACAACAACATCAGCCGTGGTGCAATAACAACAACAACATCAGCCGTGGTGCAATAACAACAACAACAACATCAGCCGTGGTGCAATAACAACAACAACATCAGCCGTGGCGCAATAACAACAACATCATCAGCCGTGGTGCAATAACAACAACATCAGCCGTGGCGCAATAACAATAACAACAACATCAGCGGCAGTGCAACCCTCGCCTGCCCAGCAGCCAGGGTGGAGCGGGCAGCAGCCAGACGGCGCCTGGAGCCACGACGCTCCAGTCTGCGGTGTCGCGAGTGGGCGAGTTGGAATGTGCACGCGGTTCACGCCCTGCGCCCCCAACCTGGTGACCCGAGTTCAATTCCCAGCCACGACCACCACCAGCAGCAGCAGCAGCAGCGGCGGTGACGATTATCTGACACGGATCCCGGGCCTCCCCTGGGTCGACTCAGCCTCAAATGAGCGGTGTTGGCCGCCCAAGCTGCATCGTGTGCCACGGCGCCGGTCCCCTTCGTCAGTGCCGCTCGCTACTCGCAGCACTTGCCCACAACGGCGTGTTAAGGCTACACGGGGGATCTTTGTCTTTGGTGTTGGTGTTGTTGTTGCTGTGTCGAGGATTTGAGTGAGAGGCACCCACACCCCTCCTCGTCGCATTCCTGGCGAGGCTGGCACGGTCGGTCTCTCTTCAAAACCGGATTTTCCAGTTCCGGACGAATGCAGCGAATGGATGAGTCACTCAGTGAGCGGTTTCATTCATTCTCAGCGCTGCGTCAACACTTCGCCTGCTGCTGCTGCTTCTGGGTAAACCCCAGCGCACGTGTTTGGCAACGAGCTTGCAGGATTACGAAATGTGGCCATGATGGTTTGCATATAAATGTGCAGGGGCAGGGTTCATCAGGGAGCAATGTTCAGTGTTAATCAGGGAGAAGTGTTCATCAGGGAGCAATGTTCATCAGGGAGCAATGTTCATCAGGGAGCAATGTTCAGTGTTCATGAGGGAGCAATGTTCATCAGGGAGAAGTGTTCATCAGGGAGAAGTGTTCATCAGGGAGCAATGTTAATCAGGGAGCAGTGTTCATCAGTGTTCATCAGGGAGCAATGTTCATCAGGGAGAAGTGTTCAGTGTTCATCAGGGAGCAGCGTGCGGGGTTAATAATACATCATAATCAGTATTTAGACTGCAGAAGGAATCCGATGAGCTATGAAGCTCTTTGTGTCACAGATGTCCAGGAGCAGCGGGTCACGACGTTACAGCAACAAACACAAAACACACAAACACGATAGCAGTGCAAAGTGTAGCAACTGTAGCTGGAATAGCTGCGGGCTTCCCACGTGACCAGCTGTAGGCTTCCCACGTGACCAGCTGCGGGCTTACCACGTGAATAGCTGCGGGCTTCCCACGTGACCAGCTGCGGCCTTCCCACGTGACCAGCTGCGGGCTTCCCACGTGACCAGCTGCGGGCTTCCCACGTGACCAGCTGCAGGCTTCCCACGTGACCAGCTGCAGGCTTCCCACGTGACCAGCTGCGGGCTTCCCACGTGACCAGGTGCGGGCTTCCCACGTGACCAGCTGCGGGCTTCCCACGTGACCAGCTGCAGGCTTCCCACGTGACCAGCTGCGGGCTTCCCACATGACCAGGTGCGGGCTTCCCACGTGACCAGCCGCGGGCTTCCCACGTGAATAGCTGCGGGCTTCCCACGTGACCAGCTGCGGGCTTCCCACGTGACCAGCTGCGGGCTTCCCACGTGACCAGCCGCGGGCTTCCCACGTGAATAGCTGCGGGCTTCCCACGTGACGAGCTGCGGGCTTCCCACGTGACCAGCTGCGGGCTTCCCACGTGACCAGCTGCGGGCTTCCCACGTGACCAGCTGCGGGCTTCCCACGTGAATAGCTGCGGGCTTCCCACGTGACCAGCTGCGGGCTTCCCACGTGACCAGCTGCAGGCTTCCCACGTGACCAGCTGCGGGCTTCCCACATGACCAGGTGCGGGCTTCCCACGTGACCAGCTGCGGGCTTCCCACGTGACCAGCTGCAGGCTTCCCACGTGACCAGCTGCGGGCTTCCCACATGACCAGGTGCGGGCTTCCCACGTGACTAGCTGCGGGCTTCCCACGTGACCAGGTGCGGGCTTTCCCACGTGACCAGCTGCGGGCTTCCCACGTGAATAGCTGCGGGCTTCCCACGTGACCAGCTGCGGGCTTCCCACGTGAATAGCTGCGGGCTTCCCACGTGACCAGCTGCGGGCTTCCCACGTGAATAGCTGCGGGCTTCCCACGTGACCAGCTGCGGGCTTCCCACGTGACCAGCTGCGGGCTTCCCACGTGAATAGCTGCGGGCTTCCCACGTGACCAGCTGCGGGCTTCCCACGTGCTGCTGTCTTGTATCAAAGGCACCAAACAACTCAACAATCACCTTGAGTCAACCACCACCAAGCAAGAGGTCTAAACACACCACGTGCACTGTCGCCAAAGTGGCAGCGGCTTCAGGGGCCACGAGAGCTAACAAGGCACTGCGAGACCCATGGCCCTTGTGCCGAGTGAAACTATAAACGAGAAATTTTCATTTATTTTAGCAGGCGAGCGATGTCGCTCTTTCTCAGAAGCAGCCTGGTCACCACAACTGATCGCTGCTCGCCGAAGTGGCTCATCATCATCGTCACCACGTGGTGATGTACAGCAGCAGCTGAATTCCCTCTAAACGTGGTGACGTTCATTCTAAATGTGGAGGGCAACAACCGGAGTCTCCAGAGAAAAATCCACGCGACCACGGGCAGATCGAGAGAGAGAGAGACGCAAACTCCATATACACAGCAGCAGGCGTTCTCAGGGTCGGGATCGAACCTCCTGTATACTAGACGAGGTAGTTAACATCTCATAGCCACCGTGATGATGATGATGAGAGAGAGAAAGACGCAGACTCCAAATATACAGCAGCAGCAGGCATCGTCAGGGTCGGGATCTATCCCACGACCTCCTGTACACCAGGCGAGGTAGTCAACATCTCATAGCCACCGTGATGATGATGATGATGCGAGAGAGACGCAGACTCCAAATATACAGCAGCAGGCATCGTCAGGGTCGGGATCTATCCCACGACCTCCTGTACACCAGGCGAGGTAGTCAACATCTCATAGCCACCGTGATGATGATGATGATGAGAGAAAGAGATGCAGACTCCAAATAAACAGCAGCAGGCATCGTCAGGGTCGGGATCCATCCCACGACCTCCTGTACACCAGGCGAGGTAGTCAACATCTCATAGCCACCGTGATGATGATGATGCGAGAGAGACGCAGACTCCAAATATACAGCAGCAGGCATCGTCAGGGTCGGGATCTATCCCACGACCTCCTGTACACCAGGCGAGGTAGTCAACATCTCATAGCCACCGTTATGATGATGAGAGAGAGAGACGCAGACTCCAAATACACAGCAGCAGGCATCGTCAGGGTCGGGATCTATCCCACGACCTCCTGTACACCAGGCGAGGTAGTCAACATCTCATAGCCACCGCGGCACCCCTCTCGTCCCGCACGTCCAGGCTGGTGGGACCGCGTCGTGCCGGACAGACCGCACCCCAGTGCCACCATCGTCAACGCACACGAACTACATTCGGGGGCGCTGTGTTTGTGTGCGCGTGTCGTTTATTCGTGCTCACGAGATCGAATCCGTTTACCGAAGCGACAACGCAGACCTCACAATCATGATACTAATAATCATCACAATCAAGAAACGAACATTGAGATGATAAAAGCAGCGTGCACCGTCCACGCGGCTTCGTTGGGGCAAGCGCCGTGAGCGCGCAGCGCTTGCGAAGGGCGGCGAAGCGCACGAGGGGGGTGAGTGGACAGCACCGCGCCCGTGCCAATGTTTACACATCGCACCACGTGCTCATTTGAGGCCGAGTCGACCTAGGGGCGACCCAGGACCGGTTAACAGGAGGGAATAGAACTGGGATCGCCACGTTTGTAGCGTAAAGACGAAACACTTTTGAGAATAGGGTTTCAACAAAACCGGGTGTGTTAAGATGTTAAAACACCAAACTGTAACCTTTTACAAGGACTCATGTTACTGCATTAACCGCAAGACTTGTGGTCAGAATGCAAACACAATCCATACTCTTTGGTTATTTGCGTAAAGTCACGTGGGTATAAAATTAAATACATCACGACGTTATTTTTTTTAGTGAGTGGGTGATTTATTTGATTTTCTACCCCACGTGACTTAAACGAAAGAACCAAAGAGGATGGATTCCTGCAGTTACGAAAGCTTCAAATCAAGATTTTAAAAAATCACACTGATAATATGATGATGCATTGTCTTTGAAACTGATTGGTCCACAACAGAGACGGCTTTCTTTTGAGCCTCGTCTCAAAACGGTGCCAGACCCCCAGAGGACCCCTTTAGGCAGCCTCCGGTCTTCTGGTCTAACACAGCTCGACAGATTGTGTGAATCAAGCTGCTGGTGATCAATAATTGGACGAGTGATTAACGTGATCGCTAATTGAACAAGCGATTCGATATTCGTTAATTGGACAAGAGATTCGGTGATCAATAATTGGACGAGGAATTAACGTGATCGCTAATTGAACAAGCGATTCGATAATCGTTAATTGGACGAGTGATTAACGATAAAACACGGATTATTTGGGTCAGGGATAGATTGTTGTTGTTGTTGCTGTTCAATATAAGTATCATTTTAGTATGTTTCAGCATTTATTATTTAAAACAAAGTATATAATGATAAGTGTGCTGAAGATGAATAGAGAAAGTATAAACAATTTGTGCTTGCAAAATATTGCTCGTAAAACTTTCTTGAGGCACCCCACAGCAGCTCCCTGTTTAAGAAATGTCGAGGGGGGGGGTCACAGACAGAGGGGGTCACAGACAGATGACGTCACAGACAGAGGGGGTTACAACAGAGGGGGTCACAGACAGATGGGGTCACAGACAGATGGGGTCACAGACAGAGGGGGGTGACATTATGGATCCAGGAGGGGAGGGATAGGCCACCAGTTACATGAGGAAGGGAAACGTCACGATATCGATTGTGTAAATGTCGTAGTGGGTTTACTTTCCAACACGCAACAACCGGTTAGTGCTGAACTAGTGACTAATTGGACACGTTTTGTTAACGTGACAAACCTCTCACTAACCTGCTGTGTCGGGTGGTTGGCGGATTTAACGACGCATTTATATTTGTAATGCAATCTAACCCAAGAACAACAACAAAACCCCCCCTCTATTGCGGTTAACATTGGTCGCGAAAGCCCCCTACCACGACCAACTACCGCGTGTTCAACAGGAGGGTATCCATCGACAACGATGCACACAACGGCCCGCCACGAGGTTTCAGAGCGGCGTGCGCGTTCGGGAACTCGCGAAGGGTTTGCGTCCAATTCCTACTCGTGACCTCCACGCTACAGCCGCTGTCACAAGCGAGGGCTGCCACCAAACGGTGAAGGGACGAGACCTTCCCCAGTGATGCCTGTTGCACCGCCTGTTCTAATATCTGGGGCCGCACGTGGAGCGAGCGGTTGCGCCCTTGGTTGTCACTGTCGTCGCGAGTGGCATCCGCGGGTCGTCCCGTACGGGGCGGTGATCATTCATAGCCCACCTTTATTTGAGCCTGGCAATCTGTTTAGGAGCCGGATGCCAATGTCGTTCAGACATTGCTGTTCCTCCGCCGCTGAAGAAGCACAGACCGCAGCGGTTTGTACGACGTGCTCCAGTGTTTAAACTAAACTATTTTTGTATTTTATTAGTTGTAAGGCCTCCACTGAGCTTCTATGTGGCTCTTTACCAGAAGCGACCTGGCTATCACGAATGATGGCTAAACGAAGTGGCTTGTCACCACGTGTAAATTTATAGCGGCAGCCAAATACTCCAAACGCGTGATGATGATTCTAAATGGAGGGTACATCCGGAGGAACCCGGAAAAAAATCCATGCGACCATGGGGAGAGCGACACACAAACTCCAAATATACAGCAGCAGCAGGCATCAGGGTAGGGATCGAACCCACGACCTCCTGTATACCAGGCGAGGTAGTTAACATCTTGCCACCGTGGTGCCCAATGGGCCACAATCACACTCCTGCGGCTCGACTTGAAAGTGTCTCCGTGCATCTCCATGTGTCTTCATGGGTTTACTCTGTGGCGCATAGTTTGTGGGGGGCTGCATGGCCACAATCCATGGCCCGTTGGTTGAGCTGTCGGTTTCTGGCCTGCCAGGATGCGCTACAAACCAAGCACTTACCAGTCGGTCACAGCTGCTGGCGATCGGGGGTTCTCCGCCTCTGTTTTCGTCATCCTCCTGAGCAGCTGCCGAGCCTGAATGAGAGGAATCTTCTTCGTCCTGCGGGGCATTGACACTCTGCGTTACGGGAGAGAAAGCTCAGCGCATTGGTCACTAACACCACTGCACGTGGCCTTAAAAGATTAAAAATATATATACGCAATTAGGAGACATTTCGATTTAAAGCTTTCGTGACTGCAGGGATTCATCTTCTGGGTTCTTTCGGTAAAGTCACGTAGAATGGAGATGAAATAATGAAAATAGTAATAACAGGATAAAATTCTCACGACGTTTCGGCCACAGAAGAAGAATTAGAACCCAGAAGAAGAATTAGGAGACATTTTAGGAAGTGGCCCTTGATGCGCAGGGTACATGGCCCGGCTATTTCCTCCCGTTGAGAGGCTGATGATTGGCGGTCAATCGCCGTTTTGATGACATTCCAGATAAGAGAGTTGGGCGACGGGAGAGCGTTGTGATTTTACACTCCATGGATAACGACGATGATGATGATCCATGATCGTCATGACTCATCATCAGCCACATTCCCAATACAGTTCACAGTACAGACAGGATAAGTGGTACAATCCTGGGGTTCCATACGACATTGACACTCGCATCATTCTGCTCATTCCTGAACATTCATTACCTCGCTGATAAAGTGACTCCACTATCCGCGAGTTCAGGCTCATGCTATGGCATGCGTTCTTTCCTCCTGGTTACATTCACAATGCTCTCTGTCCATCCTAATCTCTCTCTGCCTGTCTCTCTTTAGTGTTCCTCAATCTTCGCTAAGACAGCACCGTCTAGCCCCTTCACCAGTTTCGTAAAAAAAAACTGCCACCGTTTGCAGCAAACAAATTCTGCCACTGAAATTAGAGACGTGCAAGGGAGTTACAGATTTCCTTTACCGAAGACAACCACCCACCCGTTATCAAGCACAGACCTTGGCGCCTACCCCAATCCCGATCTCCCCCTTCTGGGAATCGCACTGTCACCATTCACCAGAATTTCTCCCAGATTGGAACAAAGCGGACATCTGGAGTAAAACAACCCGTTTGTAGAACCCAAACACGGAACGTGTCCGGGCTCTGACATTCCTCAATCACGCTGGTGTAACCATCAGCCACATTAAAGCATCGCCAGGCCGATGCGTAGGCTTTCGCGACCAAATATTGTCCATCTAACCCCTAAAAAACCCCTCTGTTGTGGATCTTATTCGTGAGTGGGAAATTAAAGAAAATCCGCAGCGGTAGCGCGGTTGTGGCCATGTAACTCAAACAAGGGGCGCTTAGAGCAATCCACCGTAATCTGTGCTCCTTCAACAGAGGAGTCGGAGAACACGCAAAGTCTCTCCGATAAACCTCTCTTCGTGAACAGCAGACCTTAACATGTTTACATTTAGCTCCTGGAAATATTGCCTTTATAGAAGAATCTATCCGTATCAATCCCCTGTAGTAAGCGTGGGTCGGTCCTTATTTCTGTCCACGGAGGGATACGCAATCGTCCTCTCCGGCAGATCTAAAGCTGCGACCATCCTCTTGCTGCCCGATGCTTCAATGTATTGGAACACAGAATCACAATAATCCACGTTGATACGGGAGGCGATGGTGTTGGCATGCACTGTGAATGTTGCGGTGCACCGCAGAGGTTTAGACTGAGAACTCCGCGACAAGAAGAATCGCACTGCCGTGGCAATGCCCACGGGTAGCGGGAGGATGGAGCTGCCACGGGTAGCGGGAGGATGGAGCTGCCTGACTCCTTCAATCCTGCAATAAATTGGCGGATTGCAAGGGGAGCACAGCTCCTGACGAGTGGCTCCTATAACCCGCGATAAGTGCACGGGCTGCTAGGAGATTCTCGTTTTCTTCTTCATCTTCTTCTAAGAGCTGAAGAAGAATGCCCCCGTGCGGGTCTATGTTCATTTGGGGGTTTTAATTCAGCGAATGACAACAGTGTGTGTCAGTTAGCAGAGTTGGTCTCTCTCTCTGCAGCTCCGCCTGTGGTATATGGCAATATATTCACGATATTTACGCCAATGTTGGGATGTCGCGAGTGACGACGAGAACGCTGCACGACAGAGTTTGTGTAGTTTTGCTCATCCTCCATTTGAATCAGCACAGACTAACGGGAGTTATCAGATGGCCCACGATCCATAGTTGCGCATGAACCGACGGAAGGGGCAGACGACACCAATTCACCGATGCCTGCTTGTAACCATGGACATTGGGCGTGACTTCCTACTCCATGTGGTTGCTACTCACAGCTTGCGTTTGACCCACGCCTTCTGTTTGTGCTGAATTGTCTTTCTTGTTGTGGCAAAAAGAAGTCTCCAAAATGTTCACGATGAAGGTGCAGACGATGAACGAGAGGCACCCCGTCATCCAGATGTCCATGGCTGTCATGTAAGAAACCTGCACGACCCAGGCACACATGCGCACACCCACACACAGAAAGACAAAGATCCCCCATGTGGCCTGTAACATCCGATGAGCACAGTTCGGCTACGTACTGTGCGAAAGAAACGTAGGTAAAATAAAATAACAAAAATCACGACGTTTCTGCCACAACACAAGTAGCCTTCATCAGGTGAAGAAACAGGCCTGTCCGTAAGACAGCACCCGAGCGAACATAGCAAAGCACGGACAGCGTTTCCCAAGCTGTGTGGGAGGAAACAGAGCGCCTTGACAAAGGAGTTAACATCAGCAGAAGTGAGTGTGAAAGCGATGCTGTCTTACGGACAGGCTTGTTTCTTCACCTGATGAAGGCTACTTGTGTTGTGGCCGAAACGTCGTGATTTTTGTTATTTTATTTTACCTACGTGACTTTACCGAATAAAACCAAAGAGTATGAATCCTTGCAGTCACGAAAGCTTCAAATCTAGAATTGTGTGAAAGAAGTTCACTATACGTACACTACACTATCCACTACACTATTATATACTACTGTAATGACTCCGACGACAAGAATATAAGAAGAGCCACTTTAATTAGTTTACACCAGAAGGAACCCTACTATATGTAGCCGGTATGGGCTTAATGTAAATTAACCACAAGTTTATTTGTGAATGAAAGTAATAATGACCATGGATTGGACCCATAGAGTCACATGAGTGCATAATAGGCCACGCCTACCAGTATATTAATCAATTCAGAGTACAGGGCACCTTACTCTTTGGTTCTATTCGGTAAAGTCACGTTGGTAAAAAATAAAATAACAAAAATCACGACGTTTCGGCCACAACACAAGCGGCCTTCATCAGGTGAAGAGATCAGGCTGTCTCGAGGACAGCGCTGGAGTGAAACACAGCCACGCTCAGACCGCGGACCTTAATGAGGAAACAAGGTGCCTTGACAAAGGAATTAGCATACAAATTAGCATTTGATTGGCCGACTTAGCATAGAGGTGGTGTACGTACGGGTGGACTTGCTGTTTGGCGTGGGGGGGGGGGGGAGTTTACCTATTGATGGTGTGAAAAGTGAATTTTTAAGAGCTGCGAAAGTTTGGGGTACCACTACTTGAAAAATATACTGTACCATTGAAATTAGTTTGATGTTTAGTTCGATTTAGAACATCTTTACAATGGTTGCTTAATTTGAAACCATCCTCTCGGTTGAAATTGTGTCTGTGTTTGTAGATCTGAATTGCCTCGTGAACAAATCTCTGATAATAACCCGTGGGTTTGCAAAGAACCTTGGTATCGGAGAAAATTATATCGTGATCACCCACAACATTGTAACAGTGATCAGCCACGGCAGAATAATTCGTTTTGCCGTGTTTCAAATCTGATTTGTGCTCGCGAATTCGGTCAGAGACATGTCGCTTTGTCTCCCTGATATAGCAATCACCGCAGGTACAACTCAATTTGTAAACCCCGGGGTACTGTAAGTCAGGAATGACATCCTTCACGGATGGGATCAGATCACGAATTTTGTGTACTGTATTGAACCGGACCTGGATCTTGTGTTTGTTTAGAATTTTGGAAATATTTTTAGTAACGCCTGCTATATATGGTAGTGTGATGGTTTTGACCGGAGTATGAAGTGGTTGTTTCTGTATGGAGGGAGAAACAGCTTGGCGGATGGTACGGTCAGAGTATCCATTCCTTTTGAGGGCCAGGTGTACATGTTTTAATTCACTGGTCAGGTGGTGTTGGTCCGAAATGCAATGAGCCCTATGGTATAAAGTTTTGATGAGATAATTTTTTTGGGCTGGGTGGTGGTGGGAATCAGGTTTCAAGTAGGAATCTGTGTGGGTGGGTTTCCTGTAGACAGAATGCTCCAATGAGCCATCAGGTCTCCTCTCAAACAGAACATCTAAGAATGGTATCTTGCCATCTTTCTCCACTTCCATGGTGAAATTGATGGCGGGATGTCTGGAATTGATGTGGTGTAGGAAAAGGTTCAGAGCTGGGAGGCCATGTGGCCAAATGACGAAAGTGGCATCCACATATCTCTTCCACAGGGAAGGTCTGAGGGTGGAAGTCTGGATGGCGTCTGATTCAGATTTCTCCATAAAAATATTGGCTATCACTGGTGACAAGGGGGATCCCATGGGGGTACCCTCATTTTGTTTGTAGAAGGAGCCATTCCAAGTAAAGTAGGTATTGTTGAGGCAGTGCCTAACCAGTGCAGGTGTGTCGGGGTCTAGTCCATGTTGGACCAAATTTTCAATTATTTCAATGGTATCAGGTACTGGGACCTTGGTGAACAAAGAGACCACATCGAAGCTGACAAGGATATCGTCAGGGGACAGTACAACGTATTTGACCATAGAGACCAACTGGGCTGAGTTAAGTACTGCTGAGGCGGTCTTGCCAGTGAAAGGCAGCAAGGTATCTGACAGAAAACGGGCCAGTCTATAGGTAGGGGAGTTGATCGTTGATATGATGGGTCGTAGTGGGGTGCCTTCTTTATGAATCTTGGGAAGACCATAGAATCTAGGGGGTCTTGCAGCAGAAGGTTTTAGGGAGGGACGTTTAGTTGGGTCGATTAGGGAGGTCGAACTTGTGATGATCTTGTTGGTTTTTATCGCTAGGCTATTGGTAGGGTCATTTTTTATTTTTGAGTAACTTCCATCGTTGAGCAGATTCTGGATTTTGTTGTTGTATGAATCTTTATCCATAATTACAGTAGCGTTGCCTTTATCAGCTGAGAGGATGACTATATCACTTCTGTTTTTTAAATTTGCGAGTTCAGAGCGTTCATTTTTGCTGATGTTGCTAATAGGTTTCTTAGCTTCTTTGGTTCTTTCGGTAAAGTCACGTAGAATGAGAATAATTAAATTGATAAAATAAAATAACACAATAATATTCTCACGACGTTTCGGCCACAACACAAGCGGCCTTCATCAGGTGAAGGGACGAGACTGTCTGGTAGGACAGCGCTGTCTGGTAGGACAGCGCTGTCTGGTTCGGGGTGACAGCAAAATTTAGCCCTCTAGCCAGTACTGTTTTCAGATTGTCAGAAATCGGGGTGCTACTCTGATTAATGAGGATTTTGTTAACGTCTAGTTTTGTTATATGTGGGACTGGGTTCTTCTTCGATAGGTGGTTGAATTTAGAAATCATGTTAGCTTTGTATTTGACTGAAAGTGAATCGGCAGAAGAAGTAGCTGATCACTGTTACAACGCTGTGGGTGATCACCGACCGTCTGTGTTGCTTTATATAGTTTCCAAATTTTGCTAAACCCTGTTTGATTTAGTGTGCTCCTCCGTCTCTCTCTGTATCCCCTGGTGTATCTGTGTTAATTCCCTCTACTTAGGTGTCTGTATATATATCTGCGGTTATGTGTTTCCCCTCTATCTTAAATTTAGCTCTTCTGTACCTGATGATTGCTTGTGTTGCAATCGAAACGTCGTATACTATTATGTTATTTTATTACGTCTTATTTCTACGTGACTTTACCGAAAAAACCAAAGAGTATCTCCTGCAGTCACGAAAGCACCAAATCTAGTTTGGTAGAAACTCTGTTAACGACCGCCCCTGTTAACGACTAATCGCCTAACAATGGACCTCCATAGAGCCCAATGTGTTCGCTTACTGACCATTCCCCTGTTAATGACGGGCTGTTGTAGGTACAGAAAATATTAATGTATTGATTAACGATGTTTATTTTAATAGTATGTGTTTATAATGTTGTTAGTATCTTTACATATCAATATCCATTTTTTATATATATTATGAAGTAAGTTTTTTTGGGTAACTTTCGATGCTACCGGAACGAATCAAGCCTTTATCGTTGATTTCCTATACTCGCTCAATGACCGAATCACTTAACGACCCGTTGCGTGGAACCAATGGACGTCACTAGGAGGAGCGCTTCTACCGCACAGTCCGACAGTCGATGTGTCTGTGTGCGTGCCAACCTTGTGATGGGCTCGGCAGACAAAAACGACGACTTCAGCGTATTTCGTTTTTTGTGGTCGCGAGTGTCCGCGCTCGAGCGCACGCTGCGGGCACCTTGGGCATGTTGGCGTGAGCGTTGGCGCACTGCGTGATCACCGAGATGGTCGTGGTGATCCCGATGCCGGCCCGCGCTGGCGTCTTGTCCACGGGGATCAGGAAGGCGATGCAGGACAGGCCGGAGAGCAGGCCGCTCGACACGTACATCTGTATGTCGGAGGCGCTCATTCTCCGACACAGCTTGAATGTGATGTTCAGGCACGATAGGTTTCCTTGGAGGAGGGTGGGTAAGAGTTGTTAAGAGTCAACGTTAGTAATAGATCTAACGATGGGCTCGACTTGGGATGTGCAGGATATCAGGGGGCAAACTTTACTTATCTTAATTACATTTATAAGGCGCTTTAACCAAAGCGCTGTACAGTGAATTAATGATGGTACAAAAAACATACCGGCATGGGGATGAGGCACGGTTAATGTTATGAATATGAGGACGACGACGACGATGATGATGATAATAATAATAGGTTTTTTACCATTTCTTATAGCAACAAAACTGAAACCTTTTTACAAGGAATCGTGTTTACATTAACCACAATACCTGCAGTCATCTGGTCGAACACCATATGAGACTAGGCTCTAAAGAAAGCTGTCTCTGGTGTGGACCAATCAATTTCAAGGACAATGCATACATTATCAGAGTGTGTTTTTTGTTTGCATTCTGACTGCAGG